TTTTTTTTTTTCTGAAAATGAACTCAATAGCAGCAGGTTAATGTTAAACTGACTTCAGATCTGGCTAGCTGTCCAAGACAAATGAAGGGTGCAAAAGACAATGAAAGGTTACTCCAGATAATGATAATTTTTATTTTTCCTGTTTATTTCAGGAAGGTCAAATACAGGACTTTTGCCTATTCTTCAAAATATAGTGTTATGCAACAACATCAACATGCATCTTAGGTGTATAACAAAGATGCCAACACAACTTAAATTCTTCACAACAGTAAAACCAGACTAAAAGGAGTACTCTGAAGACTTCATAAGTATAAAGGCAAACTTTAGAGCAGTAACTCACGATTTATAGCCAACAGTCCTGAGAAAGAGTCTAAAGTGAAAACAAAAGGAAACAGAAAATCTACTAGAGGTTAAACAATCACAATCTTGTGCAGTCCCAGATAGTAATTTCTGCTGCAGTGACACTAAGTAAACAACTGGTAAAAAGAAATAAGATTAATAATATCTCTAGCACATTCCTCTTCATTTTTTGCAGTGCGTCCAGTCATGTTTTATACCAATTCTTGCCATAAGTAATTACAAAATTAGCTTAGTACTAGCAGACTAGTGTACCTGCTTAAAGTTTTGTTGACTTTGCTGTGGTTCTCTCCATTCAACAGCACACTGCAGAACCAGTGCCTTAGACTGTAAGCTTAGTGTCTGATTACACTCCAGCTATATCATCAAGTTCAAAGTTTGATGCTGGTAAATAAGAAGTAAATTAATAGGAATAACAGTTCCTCACCATTTCCCTCTTCTTAGTATTATTAGATTTTAATTTCTCTTAAACCAAGGTTCAGTTAAGTAGTGCAAGGAAATTTCGTTCAGTAAGCTTTGCACTTTTTCAGTATAAACTTCATTAAAACAAAGAAAGGTTGGAAAGGGGGATAGAAAATGCCTGCTTTGGAGGGCTTAATCATAACTTTTAAAATTAAAAAGAAATCCCAAAACATTCTCAGAGGCTTATTTACAAATTGTTGCGGGAGGATGCACACATACCTGTTAGCTAAAGCGAAGGCTCCATGACTCAGGACAAGATTTAATTCAAAACATTAGACTCAGTAAGTAACACTTCAGAACTAGAGGTTATACATTGCAGCTCCAAACAATTGCACTCCAAATGGTGCTTGAATGAAGGATTCAAAACAGAAATCATTTGAAGGGAAAATTACATGGAATTATCCTGTAGAAATAATAAAGAGATGGTTCTGAAATCCCAATCTCTACAGAGCAGATATATTTCCTCCAGGGCTACATACACCTCTCATTTCATCTTAGGTAGGTATCTGTACTCCCAAAAAACCCCACACAAGAAGCCAAACAAACAAAAAGGGAATCTGAATTTAACTCATTCTTGCAAACAAGCAGTGTAGTAGTCAACTTCTTGCTACAGCTGATGTTCCTGAAACAAAAGACCTTCAGAATTAAGAGATATATAGGGAACGACTTGCTTTCAACATTCGTATTACATCCCAGCTTAATTCCTGCTTTTAAGAACTTTTAACCTTTTTATCCATTCCAGAACATAGTTAATAGATTGCCTGAATCCCAAATCCTACTCTATTCCTAGGCTTTCGAGGCACAAATTTTGCCTTTACCTAAGTCATGCAACGCAAGGCTGAGGACTGACCCATTCCTTTAAAATTACGAAGATTTGGCTTAGGTGAGTCATGAGCTTGAGCTCAAGTAAAGAAAATTCAGAAATTTACTGCCAGTAACTTCTCTCTTCTTATTTCATAGTGGACCTAACTCCAAATTCAACTAACCCTACGTAACCTGATTTATTTTATCAACCAGATAAATCTTTCAAAGCTCACTATTTTTCGGGCTGAGAGGCTAATTTGCTCCAGCTAAGCCCAACACCCAACCACTTCACTCTTAGGGCAGGCACCTGTGGCACATCTTTTGTGCAGAAAAATGTGCCAGCCACTTGTTAGCTATTTGCTAGGCCATATGTACCTTGTCAAAGCGATCTATTTCATTTAAGATGTATAGATCCAAAATTACACAGCCCAGAGAAAAAAAAAAAGCAATAATTTTATTCATTTGACACATGCTGTCTTGAGGACAGTTCAATTTGTAACAGTAGTTAATAATTCACAAACAAAAGAATACAGTTTTAAAAAGTAACTTCTTTGTTCCCAACAGCAGAGGGTTAAGCATACTGGCCAACTAGTACAAAATACATGCTCCATGGAAATAACTCTATTTCCACTGTGCATTTTTAAAAAACCTTTATCACTTTGTCTTTGTACCTCGCAGCCAAGAATTACTACACAGAAAGGCCTGGTTCCTTTTCAGTCATCTTTTGGGATGACTGGATACTAGTTCTTGAGGGCTTTTTTTCTTTGCTGGCAGTGCTGCATCCAGCTAGGGCATGTTTTCCACACCTGACTACATACCCTATTCACAATTACCGACCACAAACTCTGTTGCTGGCAGCAACTGCAGAGCTCCCTCTTGTACGCCTGACACGAGGAGTTCATCCTGTACTGTTGAGAGGTTTCAAGTTTTACCAGGCAAACAGCACAGAACGAACCTTGGCCACCCAAGAGGACCAAGGCCGTTTGAGGGTGCTGGTGCGGCCTGTGGAGTCTCTGCAGCACCTGCCGTGCACCCTGCGTGGCCTCCCGCTCCTCCTGGTGCCAGGACGCGGGCGGTTGGGCAGGGCTCTTTGTGCTCCCTCCATGCAGACAATTGCTGAAGGAGAACAGTTGTGCAAGGGGAGACAGAAGCTACCGAATCTCCACCCTGAAACCGGACCTACCCCCACAACCTGAAGCAGCACTTTGATACGTAAACCCATTATGTGAATGGGCAGTGTACGTATAATGTGTGCAAGGCAGCCGACGTGTAATGTTTGTTTGTGATCCTCTGTAACCCCCAGACACCCTGGGGACTGAGCCCATGTGAAAACCTGGATTTTAAGGTAGAGTCCCCAAAGTTACAGCGGGCGCCTGGGGCGACAAAGCCAAAGTCTCTCACCCTTTGATCCGCCCCAACACCCAAACCCTCCGCCTCCGGGGACCCCTACCCACCTCCTTCACTTCCCCATGCAGGTGAAGGCCCCGCGGCAG